TTTGTCACATTCTGTGGTAAAACCAAAAAACAAGGTTATTTTATGTTGTGTCCCATCAGGATATAGGTGATCATGGCTTCCACAATTTCCTGAACTTTGCAGCTCTTAATGAATTTGGTCTTTTGTTCCCCCATCCTAAACACTATTCTACCATCTATTTGCTCAATGCTGTTTTTTTCCTCTCTTCTCTCTCGCCTTCAATATGTCCTGTAAGTATCAAATTTCCCAAGCCCTTTTCCTCATTATATACCCTAAAAATATCAACTGCCTCTTCCTGTTGTTAAATATAAATTTCCTCTTTGTTTCCATTTTCTCTAAAACTTCATCCTTGCTCACATGTTTGATCCATGGTATTCTCAGCATCCTTATGTAGAACTACATTTCAAATCTCTTATTCATCTTAGAGAAGATTGTCCACCATTCACTGCAATATAGGAGGACGCGACAGTTCAGTAATCTTTTTTTTTTTTTTGAAATTATTCTTTTTTCTTAGTATTTTGCTTAGCTTTTCAAAGACATCTTTCACTATCTCAATGCACTATTGGATTTCAAAGTCTAAAACACTTTCCAGTTATTTAAATTGTACTTGTTTGATTTTGGTATCTCCAATTTGAAATTTGCATGTTGGACTTCACTTTGCTGACAACCATGAATTCCATCTTCTTACAATTGATGTTTAGTCCTTTCTTCTCACTTTCCTTCACTAACTTGTAGGAGTTCTTGTAGTTTTCTTTTTCAATGTCTGTTATCAATACTGTGTCATCTGCATATCTAATGTTGTTAAGATTGTGGCCACCAATAATGAACCCTGGTAGGACTTCTAATTCTCTCAAAATCAGTTTCCTGTATAAATTGAATAAATCTGGTGAAAAGATACATCCTTACAATAACAAAATGAATTTTTTATAAAAAAAACAGATTACTGTTGAAAATAGACCAAAATACAAAAGTAAATTTACAATCACTTACAGAAGAGTGTTAAAGACTAATGAATAGTAAAGAAAACAAAAAAAACTTCTTTTCATCCAAGCACTCCATTAAAACTTTTTACTCTATTCAAAACAAAAAAAAGTACATAATACAATATGACACCAATGAATAATTGATCATTTAGCTTGTAGATTTAATGGAAATTTTCAGAAACAACAGAAACTTGACATCAACAGTTTAGGAGATTCAAAAATTCAGCTCATGCACTTTTTTGGCATTTAAATAAAAAAATAATAAACAAAACACTGACACCACAACCAACTTATTAACATTATTTTTACCTTTTTTTTTTTATTTTTTCTTAGCAACAATTTACTAACATGAAATGCTTTAATTTAAATGATCCCATTTGAGCAAATCAAAATGATAAAAATGAAGATAATTAAAGTTCTGTTGTGACAATAATGAAATCATTATCTTCAATTTAATGTTTGCAAATTAAGAAAATTTAAGTTAATTTAAAATTCCTTGATTTGTCTTCCTTGACATCGTTTCTTTCCACCTGCTTTTCCTGGAGTTATTTCCATCAGATTGTTCATTCATGATGCACATTTAGTCGTCTCAGATTCATTTCTTTAAATAACAAAGGTCGATTGGTATGACCTTGATTTACCATTGGATGCCGATTAATTGTCATATAAAATTATAATCAGGCTCTTGCCCCAGATAAATAATGGACCATACCATGTATAATCATGCTATTAACAATCAAATAGAAAATCAAGCATCCTCTACCAAGTGTTTCAAGAAATGGGACTCAAGATAAATCTTTCCAAAATGGAAACTATGATCTGGAATTGGAATGAAAGCAGTGATGGCACCTACCCAGAATCCATAATGAAAAAGGAAGACATGCTCTACCAAGTGCTACAAGAAACAGGAATCAAGATCAACATTTCCAAAAGAGAAACTACGATCTGGAATTGGAAAGCAGTGATGGTACCTACCCTGAACCCATCATAGGAATTCATGATGTGGAATTCAAATAACTCGGAATATGGACAATCTGTAACAGATTTCCAAAAGAAATAAGAATTTTTAAAATCCCTTAAAAATGTTTTCTGTGTGGGTATGTAAGGACAACTTTCAATGGTTTCAAACTGACAGATTAAACAATCTTTTTGAAATGCATTGTTGCTATCAAAATGAATTCCTCCAACTACTGGTAAAAGGAAGAGAGAAAACTATTACTTGAACTATTGTCCCCGTATTTTTGTCTGCCATATTTATTACAACGTTTCGGCCGTTGTACGCTCCGGCCTTCTTTAGGTGGTTGGAATGTTGAGCTGAACCCTCTATTTCACTGGGGTAGACTGTTCTAGTTCCACGTGCCACGTTTAATGGATGTCAGTCATCAGTTATCTCCTGTTAATTCCCCTCACTAAGTTCTCCACCGCCTTAAGCAGGTATTGAACTCTCACTCTTTGGGTCCTGTCACGGGATCTAACTAACGCGTTTACCCACTGTGCCATGTGCCCTTGGCCGAAACGTTGTAATAAATATGGCGACAAAGATGAGGACAGTAGTCCGAATAATATAAACAGTGTACATAATACCTCATCTCATATATATAGACAGATATAGAAAACTGTTTATTTAATATATGTAAACATCTGGTTGGTGTAAAAATAGCCCATCAGGGTTGAGACGTCATTAAATAAAATCTAAACAAATCCAACCTTTAGGTTTTATGAAGATTCATTACACTCTGTAGACTAGCGCTATAGAATAACAACCGATGTTTACCAAATAACAAAAGCCATAACACTTGATCACTTTCAACAATAACAAAGATAGGTATCGCATTTAACTGGAAAAAAAAATGAAGACAAGACGATAACTTTCATCATGACCAAAAACTCCCAAGAATACAACAAAGAGCGCTAACTTGAGAACATTAATTTTCTGTTTCATGAAAATTGGATTCCATACATTTCACGTAAATAGTAACATTAACTGTTCGGTTAATGAATTGTGAATGCTTCCTGTATGGAAACGGCTACTTTCATTATTAAAAAAAATGGAGATATCGATGTCTAGCAATCTCTGTTCATTAAAGAATATGAATTGCACATTGATTGGTTAAATAACACGTTAACCCTATAGGATAGAGTTGTAGTTGTATTTCCAACACACGAATTTGGTATTTTACCTATCATAGTTTGTGAGATATAATGAATATACACTTGAAGAATGGCTATGAATAAAGGTCGATATGAGGTGGGTAAAACCCAGCAGGCTGAAAGACAAGAAACTCGCCGAAATATAGATTGGCACTAAGACAATCAAGTTAGGCGCATTATAATGATGGATGGTATCAGTTAAATAGACTGGTGTCCACTCTTAAAAAGTAGGGGATATTTTTGCCGATGATTAGCATTCATTAGACATTCCTCAAGTCATCTCATTTTAATGAGACTCGAAAAATAATATTATCGCAGGATTAAAAAAAAAAAAGTTTCCTGTTCATAGTATCAATTAAGTGTAAAATAGGCCCTTGAACTTTTAACAGAATTATTGGGATTAGTTTTTTTTTTTTTTTTTTTTTTTTTTTTTTTTTTTTGGATGAGAACAGGCGTTTAAAGTTTCTTGTTTATTTTTTTTTGTTTTGTTTTCCTTTTCGTTTCTGCTTTCGTTTTTGCTTTATGCCTTTTCTTTTTCTTTTCTTTGTTTTTTCTTTTCTTTGTTTTTTCTTTTCTTTGTTTTTTCTTTTCTTTGTTTTTTCTTTTTTCTCTCTTTTTCTTTTCCTTTTCTCTTTTTCTTTTCCTTTTCTCTTTTTCTTTTTTTCTTTTTCTTTATTGTTTTTTCTTTTTTTCTCTCTTTTTCTTTTTTCTTTTTCTTTGTTTTTCTCTTTTCTCTTCTTTTTCTTTTTTCTTTTTCTATTTTCTTTTTCTATTTTTCTTTTCTCATTTTTCTTCTCTTTTCTATTTTTCTTTTCTATTTTTCGTTTCTATTTTTCTTTTTTCTCTTTTTCTTTTCCCTTTTTCTTTTCCCTTTTTCTTTTCCCTTTTCCTTTTCTCTTTTTCCTTTTCTCTTTTTCTTTTCTCTTTTTCTTTTCTCTTTTCTCTTCTTTTATTTTTCTTTTTTCTTTTCCCTTTTTCTTTTCTCTTTTCCCTTTTTCTTTTCTTTTTTCTTTTTCTTTTCTCTTTTCTTTCTTTTTCTTTTTTCTATTTCTTTTCTCTATTTCTATTCTCTTTTTCTTTTTTCTTTTTCTTTTCTCTTCTTTTCTCTTTTTCTTTTTGTTTTCTCTTTTTCTTTTTTCTTTTCTCTTTTTCTTTTTTCTTTTTTCTTTCTTTTTCTCTTCTCTTTTCCTTTTCTCTTTCTTTTTCATTTCTCTTTTTCTTTTCTTTTTTCTTTTTCTGTTCTCTTTTCTCTTTTTTTTCGTCTTTTCTCTTTTTTTTTTTCTCTTTTTCTCTTTTCTTTTTTTCCTATTTTCTTTTCTTTTCTCTTTTTCGTTTTCTCCTCTTTTTCTTTTTTTTCGCTTTATTTTAACTTTTTTCTTTTCTCTTTTTCTTCTTTTTCTATTCTCTCTTTTCCTTTTCCTTTTCTCTTTTCTCCTTTTTCTTTTCTCTTTTTCTTTTCTGTTCTTCTCTTTTTCTTTTTTCTTTTCTCTCATTCTTCCGTTTCTCTTTTTTCTTCTTTATGAAGATATAAATGAGCTAAGCATATTTTAAAACATTACATTTGTAAAAACTCCTAGGTCTTAAAATGTCTGGAATCGATTCTACACTGTTCCGTTATTATTAAACAGGACCTTATATATAAAAAAAATTAATTTTGGATTCTAACTCCCTGACTGAGATATGAATGTCATAAATTCTTTTTGGTTTTCAGCCATTCTCCTTAACCTAGCACTTGACATTGTATGTCAGTTGACTGGATCATTGTCAGGTTAGGTTTTCTCTATTCAAAGCAATACTAATGGAATCAGTAATCATTCTTCTCTTTGCCAATTTTCTCGAGAGAGATTCTTTGAATAAATGCCTCATTAGCTCCCAGTCACTTGAGGAATGAAACCAACTTCATTCTCTCCTTTATGTGTACCCCTTCCCCCCCCACAACTTTACATTGAAACGGACCCCACCGTTTCTTTCACTTCATTCCACATTTCTAACCAAACTTTCTTTTCTCCTCTTTATTTGTTCCTTTTCCATTGTTTCACTCTCTTTTTGCTTAACTCTTCTTCAGATCCAAAAATGGCAAGGTGAAAATAGAACTTTTCTTTTTTTTTTTCTTTGCCAGATTTCCTACCATTTTAACCCTATTCCAAGATGTTCATTCGCTTTGACAAAGTTATAAAAAAAAATGGGCGTCTAATGTTCATGTTTGTTTTTCATTCACAAAATACCTCCACCCACATTTTAACATTACAGCATCTGTCATATCTTCAGACTTCCATCTCCCCCACAAATGCACATCGCTGTCACTCTCTCATTCCGCCCGTCTGGGTCTCTCTCTCTCTCTCTCTCTCTCTCTCTCGTCCTTCCCATCTTTTCTCTCTCGTCCTTCCCATCTTTTCTCTCTCGTCCTTTCCATCTTTTCTCTCTCATCCTTCTCATTTGGGTCTCTCTCTCTCTCTCTCTCGTCCTTCTCATCTGGTTCGCGCTCTCTCACCCCCCCATCTGGCTCGCTCTCACTCTCTCGTTCTTCCCATCTGTCACTCTCTCTCGTTCTTCCCATCTGTCACTCTCTCTCGTTCTTCCCATCTGTCACTCTCTCTCGTTCTTCCCATCTGTCACTCTCTCTCGTTCTTCCCATCTGGCTCTCTCTCTCGCCCTTCCCATCTGGCTCTCTCTATCATCCACTCTCATCTTCCCCATCTGTGCCTGTGTGCGTATGTGTGTATCTAGGTCTCTCTCTTATCCAACCCCATCCGAGTCTTTCTTCTCGTCCTTCCCAACTGGGTATGTCTGTCTCTGTCCATCTCACTCTTCTCCTCCTAATCTGGATCTGTTTGTCTCTGTCCCTCTATCTCTCTCGTCCTCTCCATCTGGGTCTGTGTGTGTATGTGTTGTCTCTCGTCCTCCACATCTTGGTGTCTCTCTATTTCTCTCTCACTCACACTCTCGTCTTCTGCATCTGGGATTGTCCGTCGTCTCTCTCTCTCTCTCTGGGTCTCTCTCTCTCTCTCTGGGTCTCTCTCTCTCTCTCTCTGGGCCTCTCTCTCTCTCTCTCTCTCTCTCCCGTATCTTCCTCTCTTCTCTTTCTACCTCCTTCCCTCTCTAATTGTTACTATTCTCGCGCAATCAAAATTACCCCCTTTATTCATTCTTTTTTCTCTCTCTCACTCGAGGATTTATTTATTTTATTTATTTTTTTTTTTTTGTCTGCATCTCCATTGGCAAATGCACACCCAAGAAGCAAAAATCAGATTTACTTTGTTTTCTCATCTCCAAGACAAAAGAGTTCCATGCCAAGAGACTTGGAGTTGTTATTTTTAACAAGTTCTTAAAATTCTCCCTTTTCTCACCCTGTAATTCTTTTAATTTCATACTTCCACCATTTTGTGTTCCTTTTTCTTTTTTTCTTTTTTTGACTTCATGACTTTTCAAGGAATACCGCTTTCTCAGTTTTCTTTTCATGTTCATTCTTTATAAAAATCTTTTCACTGCTCCTTGAGAAATTTTCTCAACAGACACTTAGCGTTCCTTCCTTACCGACTTGATTTTTCAATCTTGTACAAAATATCATTCGACTAAGATCTTTTTTAAAAAAAAAAAAAAAACAAAAACAAAAAAAAGAAGGGTTCCGTTAAATAATTGGGTAGGAGTTATAAGGAGGAGAGGCCGCTGAGAGAATTTAATCATTTTTCCATTTTCCTTACCACAATATCTCTTAATATTATTGTTGAATCATTATTTTAAACATTTTTTCATCAAGCTGTGTTTAACGGCTATGAAAGAGGAAAAAATTACAATTGATTATTACATTTGAAAAATCTTTCATTGTTTCATATTACTTGTATTAAGGATTTTGCTCCTGAAAAATCCAAGAATACCATCGACAGTTTTATTCACTGGTTTTGAAAAGAATTAATAAATGTAACGCTTTCGTTTCTTTTGTTATCTTTCATTTTCCTTTGGAAAACATTTTAACAAATTCCGATAAACTGATACACCGATTAACAAAATCTTCCCCTTTTTATTTTCGTTCTGAGAAAAACATAAGTTTTATGTAGATCAGGTATGTGAATTATTGAAATACATATACTTACTTAAAATGTAGTCTGAATACAGACACAGAATTAAACCTTTAGCCAAGATGTAATTTAATAAAAAACGAACACATTAATTTACGTTCCGAAAATGGTGTTTGATGATGATTTTTACACCAATACGGCGATAAACAAATTTAATGTTCCATAAAATTCATTGTATTCTTTTGGTTACTACGTATTTTTTTTCTCTGTCCTTTGCCGACTTTACCTCTACTCTGCACAGACCATTGTCGTCTTTACCTCTACTCTGCACAGCCCATTGCCGTCTTTACCTCTGCTCTTCTCTGCCCATTGCCGTCTTTACCGCTACTCTGCCCTGCATTTTTTCATCTTTGCTCTGCCCTTTGTCGTCTTCACTCTGCTCTACCCTGCCCTTTGTCGTCTTCACTCTGCTCTGCCCTGCCCTTTGTCGTCTTCACTCTGCTCTGCCCTTTGTCGTCTTCACTCTGCTCTCTCCTTTGCCGTCTTTAGCTCTGATCTGCAATTTGACGTCTTTACCTCTGCTGTGCCCATTGCCGTCTTTACCTCTGCTCTCTCCTTTGCCGTCTTTACCTCTGCTCTCTCCTTTGCCGTCTTTACCTCTGCTCTGCCCATTGCCGTCTTTACCTCTGCTCTGCCCATTGCCGTCTTTACCTCTGCTCTGCAGGTTGACGTGTTTAACTCTGGTCTGCCCTTTGCCATCTTTACCTCTGCCCATTGCCGTCTTTACCTCAAGCTCTGCTCTTTGCCGTCTGTACCTCTGCTCAGATCTGCCCATTGCCGTCTGTACCTCTGCTCAGATCTGCCCATTGCCGTCTGTACCTCTGCTCAGATCTGCCCATTGCCGTCTGTACCTCTGCTCAGATCTGCCCATTGCCGTCTGTACCTCTGCTCAGATCTGCCCATTGCCGTCTGTACCTCTGCTCTTCTCTACTCATTTCAGTCTTTACCTCTGCTCTTCTCTACTCATTTCAGTCTTTACCTCTACCCATTGTCCTCTGCCCTGCCAATTGAGGTCTTTAACTCTCCTCTGCTATCCCCTTTGCTTTCTTTACATCTACTCTTCGCTTTCCCGTCTTAACCGCTGCTCTGCCCAATGCCATCTTTACCTCTGCTCTGATCTGCGTTTTTCCGTCTTTACCACTGCCCTGCGCTTTGCCGTCATTACATCTGCTTTCCCCATTACCGTCTTTACCTCTGCACCGCCCGTTGACGTGTTTAAATCTGCTCTGCCATTGCCGTCTTTACTCTGCTCTGCTTATTGCAGTCTTTACCTTTGCACTGTCCTTTGCCGTCTTTAACTGTAATCTGCCCATTGCCGTCTTTACCTCAGCTCTGCTCTTTGCCGTCTTCTCCTCTGCCCATTGCCGTCTTTAACTCTGCCTTGCTCTGCCTATTGCTGTCTTTACCTTGTGGAACCGTGCAGGGTTTCCACTTACTTTTACGCGCGCGCGCGTATTGCACCCCTTCCTTTCAGTTTCGGCTGGATATAGTAGTAAACAGCCATCTGCTGCCGACGTGATGAAGCTGCTGGCTGCTGCTAATTCCAGCTAAAACAGAAATTGAAGTTTTCCTGCGCATTCTCTGACGTCACTGACGAACGGTGTTTTTCAAATCAGTCGCTGCCTGGTCTCCGAGCAAAAAGGTCGACTCATTTATTTCGCGCCCCTTACCCATACGCGGGCCGAATTATCTTAACTACAAAAACTTCCTAGTAAACTCCTTGGCTCATCATGTCGAATCTCTTCATGTGTTTGAACTTTCTGCGAACAACTTATTAGAACTTTCCTCTATTTTCTACCAGAGAATGTAGAGTTGACGACACCATCGCCATCACACTTTTACAATGACTAATTCCTCGTCCTGACGCGAACAACTTGTTCGAACTTTCCTCCGTTCACTACCAGGGAACGTAGAGTTTTTCGACACGGACGATTGATAAACTTTAAAAACTCTACCTTGTGAACTAGTTTAAAAAAGAAAAGAAAATATAACATTACACACCAACGACAAAAATCTCGCAGTAAGTATTTTCCTTGTCGTGTATGCATGTACCTTTTGTATAAGAAGACTGTTCCAGAGAACCTTTCCCGCCTTAGCCATTTTGATTTTCGTTTTGGCGCGGAACATTAACATTCTTTTAATGACTACTTGTCAATACCTTATACAACTTTGCCTACTTGCTAAGAACTAGGTTTACTTTTCTAATAGTCTCCACTGTTTGAGACAAAATGCCTTTTATTAAATAAAGTTTTATATTTGTTTTCCACCAGACTCGTTTTCATTGTTCCTCCTGTCTATCTATTTTTTTTTACCTTTTTATGCATGTGTTGAATGACCCTTTTTCCTCACTAAGGAGACTGTAATAATTATACAGTTAAAAGATCACACATTTATTATTTTTTTCACTTATTCTTTTTTTTTTTTTATTTTGCTATTTCGGTAGTCGTGAGTAGTGTCTGGCACAAGGCCACCTTTTCGTAGACCAACACTGCATGCTACCAGGTCTGCTACCAGAAACTCAAGCTCTGCTCTGCCCTTTGCCGTCTGTACATCTGCTCTACTCATGTCAGTCTTTACCTGTGCTCTGCCATTTCAAAGATATTAACCTTTCATCTTTTGTAATCTTTAAACATTTACACATTTTAGCATGATAAACTTGAATTAACGGTTATAGATTGGTGTCCCCATCGATGGATTCTTGGTTTTTTTTAAAGTTCTGTTTTGGTCTAATTTGCCAATTTACATTTCTAGATTCTGTAGACATTGAGCACTTTAATCTTTTTTGTGGAGGTAGGTCTCTCTTTCTTTCTTTTTTGGCAAGTAGATTTTTTTTTGGTGCCTATTCTTTACCTCTCCTTTTTCTCCATCTTCTATATGTATATCCTCCAGGCTCTCCGCAACTTCCTATCCCTTAACGCTTCTTAGTAATGTTTGACTTTTACCATCTGTCAAACTCCATTTATTTTTTTGTCTGATTTTTTTGAGATAAGTTCTGATCCTTTATTATTTATTGTTATCTACTGAAACACAGTAAAAATCAGCTACTGTTAAATAACAACATGGCACAGATAATAAAAATGCACAAAAGAAAAAAACAACAACAAACCACCCACAAAATCAAAACCACATGTCACTGCAAATCAAGGAATGAATGTCCCTTAAACGGCAATTGCTTTCAAAAGAATATAATATCTTTCTTAGCCACTTGAAAATCAGCCGGTAACAAAAAAAAAATTTGCATAGGTGCCCTTTGATGGACTTTGAAACTGCTATGCATATAAAACATCTTAACGCTGCTAAATATGCAAACTGCCGTACTTTCTAAACATATATGGGAAATTCTAACCGACACTAAATCACACCAAATATATCTGCTATTATTTCCGTGCTAATAGGAATATATACTTGAAAAACAAAATGGATAAAATAAGTAAAATTCTTTATTGTAAAAACCTGAACAAGGTAACAGTTATGCACATGATCTCTCACAAGTCAATCCAGTAGTGAGTGCTACTATTGGAAGGTCAGTAGTTCTGATGTAAGTCTGAGTCGTACTCAACAGATCCTAAAACCGTCTTTTACAACCTGCCCTGCCGGTTGGATGTGGCACAAGGCCTAATTTAATGTCTTTTTTTAAGCTCTGCTTCTCTGTAAACACTACAAACTTTACCTCTGCCCTGCCGGTTGCCGACTCTGTCCTCTGCTCTGCCTCATCTGGGTTCCGTCTGTTAAGGCTCTGCCCTTTAAAACATTGCCGTCTTTAGATCCCTGCCCTGCCGATTGCCGTCCATACCTTTGCATGTGGCCGTCTTTTAACTGGGTTCTCCGTCGTTTTACCTCTCAACCCGATTGCCGTTTTTACCTCTGCCCTGCCGATTGCAGGTTTTTACCAATCACACCTGCCGGTGCCGTTCTACCCTGCCGATCCTCCGTCTGGGTTCCTCTGCCATGCCGAAAGCCGTCGTTTACCTCTGCCAATGCCGATTAGCTCGTTTTACCTCTGCTCTGCCTCTGTTTTTTAATGTTGACCTATGCTCTGCCGATCTTATAGGTATTTACCTCTGCTCTGCCGATTGCCGTCGTTTCTATTTTCATCTTTTCCCTCTGACAGGTTGCCGTCCATTACCCTCATGGAAAATAAGAACAATTTACATCTGCCTGCCAACATTGCCGTCGTTTAAACCTCTGCTCTGTCTGGAGGAAAATAATTTATAATCAATTTGCCCTTTGCCGTCAAAATAAATCTGAACTCATCTCAAAATGTAGACCAAAAACAAACTTTACTAGGTTACTCTGAAAACTAAAATGAATATCTTGTAAAATATCTGCTGTAAATTGCCACACTTTATACAATGCAAATAATGTAATATTACTTTAGACTCTGCCAATACTTTCTTTACTTTGCAAATAAAATAACTTTTTCTGATTGTTTATTAACATTGTCTCCTTGATAAATTCTTACTTCTGCTCTGTTCGTTTTATCTAAGCTGTTTTGACCCCCCTGAAACCTCTGGCTGATTTTTGCCCCCTTTGACCCTCTGAATATTTCAGTTTTTTTCTCCAAACCATTTTTGTTTTTCTAAGTCCACCCTGACTTGGGGTGGTTTTCCCTTTTTCCTTTTCCAGCTAATATTAACACCAAAATTTCTTTCAAAATCGAGAGTTCAATCTAGAAATACTATTTTTTATAGTGGTGTGACAACAATAGTGTCTTTCCCAAAAGAAAATTATCATCCGAAATAGGCTTTTCAATTTCAAAAGCTCCCAAGAAAATCGATTATTTTCCCTCGTAAATGCTTCAGGACGTTGATATCCCCCGCCTTTTGAACAAACTAACTTGTTTTTCCTTCATTCCTATTTCGATTAAGTCTCCAGAACTTTCTTATTCTTTTTTTTGCTCCTGTATGTGTTTGCATCTTATGGCATTATTGCCTTGTGTACGTGTGTGTGAAAAAAAAAAAGAATCCAATAAGTTCAGATGTGATTAATTCATGGGAATTATTTTTGTTTCTCTCATGACACTTATTTTTTTGTCTCATGCAAAGTCTGTAAAATCTTTTTTCTTTTCCTTTTGTGTGTGTATTTAAATAGGATATAATTCCGACAGCAATATTCAATCAGGAAAATTTTGAAAATGGATCCATTTCTTAATTGCTGGTCATTCCCTAGGTCCTATATGTCTGGGGTGTGTCTGTAAAGTTTCCAGGTCATGCTGTTGATATAATGACCATGGCCCCAAACTAACTCAAAAGCTATCTCATGTGTTAAAATATTTTTTAATACCAGAAATTATTTTCTGTAAAAACATTTTAATTAAAACATTTTTTGAAAAAAATAATAAATGTAAAGTTTTTGGAAAATAATTTAAAAGCGTCTGTGTTCAAATTTTGTCGGCATTTTTCAAAATAAACAAAAAGAGTTTTAAAAAATGCCGTTAACTAAACTAAATCTCTTATTGAAGGTGTAACAAATTAAAAAAAAAAGCTCTCTTGGACTCTCTGTCGAAAATGTGAAGTGTCTCTCTCTCTCTGAATGTGTTTCTTCTCTCTCTGTCGCTTCATTTCTTTTCTTTCTCTCTGTCAAACATTTTTGTCTCTCTCTGTGTCTCTCTTTCTCTCTGTGTGTATGTGTCTGTCTCTCTTTCTCTCTGTCACTATCTTTCTCTGTGTGCGTGTGTCTCTCTCTCTCTCTTTCTTTCTCTCTGTCCCTTTCTGTTTCTTCTCTATTAATCTTCATTATTTTGTACACGGAAGAAACATAAAACGAAATATTGTACAGTGAACGAAAATCTCAGTCTTCAATATCCTTTCCACCCCATTTATTTTTTTCTACATAACTGGCATTTCTAGTTGACCTATTTTCATACATCTACTTAAAAGTTTAAAAAATGGAAGGAAAACATCGACCGAATATCGTACGGTCAAATTTCTATGGCTCTTTTCGTCTGCAAGGGCTTTTCAAATAACTCAGCAGGACAGATTGAAAGAAAAAGTGATAAATTATTGCCTGGTTTATTCATCCGTTATATTTTGTTATATGAACGCTAACTTTTGCACAACTCTGCATTGTTATGATGACGATTGACATTATATTCTTTCTTCAGCCTTTCTCAGATGCTTGTCTATCCAGGCATGTTCAGAAAAATTTAATCTATGTTAAATTTTTTTTGTTACTACCTGGCCCAGAGATTGAACTTTGCCCTTAATTTTAACCGCGACAAGCAAATAGCAGTTGTCATTTTTCTTTTTTTTCTTTAAGGTTCTGAATTCAGGATTAATCTAGCTTAATGGAAAAAACAGTTGTTTACCAATTTGTTTTTTTTTGTTTATAACAATAATTTAAATGTAAATAACTCCACAACTCAGAATTCCTACAAATTATCATCACTGTAAAAATAACCAGCACTCAATCAATATTTAATTTATCCAAGTACGACACAAGGCCCCGAATATAAAGACGAAATTCTCTACGGTAGTAATGCTTTATGGGACTAGTTTGCAAACCAATCTTCCATCTCAGAACTGCAAAGTACATTTCCCAGCGTTGAAGATGCTCTGGGTTCAGACATGCCTTCAAGTTCATTTGAAAAAAAGTTTGTTTCTGTCATATCCTTTCTGAATGTGGACAATCCTTGTTCTAATTAATTGTTGCTTGTCTATATCTCTGAGATGGGGTATCATGATTACTTGCATTATTTACATTATTCGAACTGTTATCCTCATCTTCATTGCCATATTCACAACGTTTCAGCCTCTATATCTCTGAGATGAGGTACTATGATTATTTGCATTATTTACATTATTCGGACTGTTATCCTAATCTTCATTGCCATATTCACGTTTTGGTAGTTGTATGTTCCAGCCTTCTTCAAGTGATTAAAATTTTGAACTGAACTCTTTATTTCATCCACCAGGTTAGATTGTTCTTGTTCCACGTGCTATACCTCTTAAGGATTCCCCTTTAACTCAACTTTTCAAGTTAACCACTGTTGTAATCTGGTATTGAATTCACAACTCTTTGGGTCTAGTCACTGGATATAACCAACGTCTTTATCCACTGGTCCATGTGTCCTTGAGGAATATGACAATGAAGATGAGAACAACAGTCCGAACAATGTAAATAATGAAAGAAAATTGTTGCCGTTTAAACTATTTTGTTTCCTTCTGTCATCCATTCACGCATTCATTAGGTAGGCTTCTTCCCGCTTTTTCTTGCATTCAATATGGCCTTATGAGTGTTACATTTTCCAGGCACTCTTTCCTAATTATTGCACCAGAAATTTTAAGTTTCTGATGGCAAACATATTCTCTATATTTTTTTTCCTTAAAGCTTCGTCATTTTTCGAATGTTCTGTCCATGGTATTAAAATTAATAAGGCCTTAGGTAGAGAAAAAAAAAGTAACGGTGATGTCTAAAGTGTGTGACGTAAAATATCTAGCAAGCGCATTGCAGTAGTAATGGTCATCTAAAAAATCATGTGCTAACCACTGCTCTACAAGAGTACTCAATAATGACTGGGATATGAGAAAATGTCTTAAAGTTGGCAGTTTGCTGCTATTTACGTTTGTAAGCTCGGAGTAGGCAGCTGGTAACAGAGTACGAAAGTACAAGACATGCTTCACTTTATCCTTTTATGTATTTCATTTTTTTTTTTTTTTTTTCACTTTTTCTGTTTTTGCTTACTCTTTTTCCTCCGCTTTTTACTTCCTTCCTCTTTTTACTTCCTTCCTCTTTTTACTTCTTTCCGTCCTCGTTTTTTATTGTCCTCTCTTTTTTTCGTCCTATCTTTTTTTTTCGTCCTCTCTTTTTTTTTTTCGTCCTCTCTTTTTTTTTTTTTTTTCGTCCTCTCTTTTTTTTTTTTTTCGTCCTCTCTTTTTTTTTTTCGTCCTCTCTTTTTTTTTTCGTCCTCTTTTTTTTCGTCCTCTCTTTTTTCCTCCTTTTTTTTTCGTCCTCTCTTTTTTTTTTTTTCGTCCTCTCTTTTTTTTCCTCCTCTTTTTTTTTTCGTCCTCTCTTTTTCGTCCTCTCTTTTTTTCGTCCTCTCTTTTTTTCGTCCTCCCTTTTTTTCGTCCTCCCTTTTTTTCGTGCTCCCTTTTTTTTTTCGTTCTCTCTTTTTTTTCGTTCTCTCTTTTTTTTCGTTCTCTCTTTTTTTTCGTTCTCTCTTTTTTTTCGTCCTCTCTTTTTTTTCGTCCTCTCTTTTTTTTCGTCCTCTCTTTTTTTGTCCTTTTATTTCATCCTCTTTTTTTTCGTCCTCTTTTTTTTTTCGTCCTCTTTTTTTTCCTCTCTTTTTTTGTCCTTTTATTTCATCCTCTTTTTTTTTCGTCCTCCTTTTTCGTCCTCCCTTTTTCGTCCTCCCTTTTTTTTTCGTCCTCCCTTTTTTCGTTCTCTTTTTTTTTTTGTCCTCTCTTTTTCGTCCTCCATTTTTCGTCCTCTTTTTTTTTCATCCTCCCTTTTTTTCGTCCTCCCTTTTTTTCGTCCTCCCTTTTTTTCGTCCTCCCTTTTTTTCGTCCTCCCTTTTTTTCGTCCTCCCTTTTTTTCGTCCTCTCTTTTTTTTTCGTCCTCTCTTTTTTTCGTCCTCTCTTTTTTTCGTCCTCTCTTTTTTTCGTCCTCTCTTTTTTTTTTCGTCCTCCCTTTTTTTCGTCCTTTTTTTTTTTTTTCGCAGTCTTTTTTTTCGCCGTCTTTTTATTCGACCTCTCTTTTTCTACGTCGTCTTTTTTTTTTACGTCCTCTTTATTTTTCGTCCTCTTTTTCTTACTCTCTTTCTCGTCTTTTCCTTAATTACACTCTCTCCTCTCTATCTTTTTTACATTCGCTCTATTTTGTGACATTCTCTCTTCTATCTTTTGACACCCTCTGTCCAATCTATCGATACATTCTCTCTCTCTCTATCTATATATATATATATATATATATGTACTGGTCATTCTTTGTAGGGATTTACATTTTTCCTTCCTATTTATCGTCATCTCAGTCAAACATCAACCATTGTATTTCCATTAGTAAAATTTTCTTTCTTTGTTTTTCTCGTACGTTATTTTTTCTCAGCTGCCATCTTCCTGTTCCTCTTCATTTTTCGTTCCTTTCTTTCCTTTTTTTTCCAAATTCCTGTTTCATTCTACTTCATTTTCTTTTTCACTTGTCTTTGCGCTTCTTTTTCTACATCCCACATTTCCCTTCTTTTAGTATCCATCTCTCTTTTCCCATTTTACTGCTTCTCTCTCTCTCTGCCATATACTCCTCCTTCCTCTCTGCCTGATACTGCTCCCTCCTCCAACTTTGCTTTTATTCACCTTCCCTTCTTTGTCTCTTCGCTCGCATTCTCATCCTTTCCTTGGCCCTCTTTTCAATTCTTTTCATTTCATTGCCCGGCCTTTGCCTATGCACTCTTCCTTGCCTCTCCTTTGCACTCTTCCTTGCCTCTCCTTTGCACTCTTCCTTGCCTGTTTTACTCGCCTTCTTTCTTGCCTCTCCTTCGCCTTTGCCCTCTTTCTTGCCTCTCCTTCGCCTTTGCCCTCTTTCTTGCCTCTCCTTCGGCTCTATTCCCTTACCTGGACTTTGACTTTATTGACTTCATTCCCCTCCCTTGCATTTATTATCTTCTTTGTCACCACCTTTAACTTCTTTTCTCTTCTTTTCACCCCCGCCTCTTTTCACTTCTATTCTTCTCCGTCCAGCGCTTTTGCCTTTATCCCCTTTGTGGCCACTCCTTTACATTCTTTTCTCTTCCCTGCTCGTCCTCCCACCCGCTTGTCTTTTATTCTCTTCCTACCACCCTCTTGCCTATTACTCTCTACCATGTACCTTATTTGTCTTCTCTCTAACACTTCTTTGCATTTGTTCACATCCTTGCCAATCTGACATTGTCACACTCGCCATCTTTTGCCTTCTTTTCACTTCCTTGCCCCACCTTCGACCTCTTTTTTCTTCCTTGCCCCACCTTCGACCTCTTTTTTCTTTCTTGCCCCACCTTCGACCTCTTTTTTCTTCCTTGCCCCACCTTCGGCCTCTTTTTTCTTCCTTGCCCCACCTTCGGCCTCTTTTTTCTTCCTTGCCCCACCTTCGGCCTCTTTTTTCTTCCTTGCCCCACCTTTGATCTCTTTTTTTCTTCCTTGCCCCACCTTTGACCTCTTTTTTCTTCCTTGCCCCACCTTTGACCTCTTTTTTTCTTCCTTGTTCCTTGCACCCGCATCCCATTTTATTGGGTCTTCCTTTCACCCGCATCCCTTTTAACTTGGTCTTCCTTGCAAAAGCATCACTTTTTATTTGGTCTTTCTTGCAAATGTATCCCTTTTTATTGGGTCTTCCATGCACCCCCATCCTTTTTTATTTGGCCTTCCTTGCACCCGCATCGCTTTTTATTTGGTCTTCCTTGCACCCTCATTCCTTTTTTTTGGTCTTCCTTGCACCCTCATTCCTTTTTATTTGGTCATCCTTGCAAATACATCCCTTTTTTTGGTCTTCCTTGCACCCTCATTCCTTTTTATTTGATCATCCTTGCAAATACATCCCTTTTTATTTGGTCTTCCTTGCACCCTCATCCCTTTTTATTTGGTCATCCTTGCAAATGCATCCCTTTTTATTTGGTCTTCCTTTGCACCCGCAACCCTTTTTATTTGGTCTTCCTTGCACCCTCATCCCTTTTTATTTGGTCGTCCTTGCACCCGCAACCCTTTTTATTTGGTCCTCCTTGCAAATGCATCCCTTTTTATTTGGTCCTCCTTGCAAATGCATACCTTTTTATTTGGTCTTCCTTGCACCCTCATCCCTTTTTATTTGGTTTTCTTGCACCCGCAACCCTTTTTATTTGATCTTCCTTGCAAATGCATCTCTTTTTTTTTTGGTCTTCCTTGCACCCTCCTCCCTTTTTATTTGGTCTTCCTTGCAAATGCATCCCTTTTCATTTGGTCTTCCTTGCACCCGCAACCCTTTCTATTTGGTCTACCTTTCGCCCTCATCGCCTTTTATTTGGTCTTCCTTGCACCCGCTACCCTTTTTATTTTGTCTTCCTTGCACCCTCATCCCTTTGTTTTTGGTCTTCCTTGCACCCTCATCCCTTTTTATTTGGTCTTCCTTGCAAATGCATCCCTTTTTATTTGGTCTTCCTTGCAAATGCATCCCTTTTTATTTGGTCTTCCTTGCACCGCAACCCTTTTTATTTGGTCTTCCTTGCACCCTCATCCCTTTTTATTTGGTCGTCCTTGCACCCGCAACCCTTCTTATTTGGTCATCCTTGCAAATGCATCCCTTTTTATTTGGTCCTCCTTGCAAATGCTTCCCTTTTTATTTGGGCTTCCTTGCAAATGCATCCCTTTTTATTTGGTCTTCCTTGCACCCTCATCCCTTTTTATTTGGTCTTCCTTGCACCCTCCTCCCTTTTTATTTGGTCTTCCTTGCACCCGCAACCCTTTTTATTTGGTCTACCTTTCGCCCTCATCGCTTTTTATTTGGTCATCCTTGCAAATGCATCCCCTTTTATTTGGTCTTCCTTGCACCCGCAACCCTTCTTATTTGGTCATCCTTGCACCCGCAACCCTTCTTATTTGGTCTTCTTTGCACCCTCATCCCTTTTTATTTGGTCTTCCTTGCACCCGCATCACTTTTTATTTCGTCTTCCTTGCAAATTATTTGGTCTTCCTTGCACCCGCTACCCTTTTTATTTGGTCTTCCTTGCACCCGCAACCCTTTTTATTTGGTCTTCCTTGCAAATGCATCCCTTTTTATTTGGTATTCCTTGCACCCTCATCCCTTTTTATTATGTCTTCCTTGCACCCGCATTCCTTTTGTTTTCGTCTTCTTTGCACCCACGTCACTTTTTGGGGGGTCTCCTTGCACCCACAACCATTTTTTTGTTTTTCTTGCACCTGCATTCCTTTTTTTTTTATTTTTGTTTTTATTTTCTTGCACACGCATCCCTTTTTTTTTTTTTTGGTCTTTCCTTGCACCCACGTCCCATTTCTTTTGTTTTTTTTTCGCCATGTTTTTTGGTTTCTTGCACCTGCATCCCTTTTCCTTTTTTTTTCTTTTTTTTTTTTGCCCTTCCTTGTACACACAACGCGTTTTTTGGGTTTTCGTTACACCCACATCTCATATTTTTTTTGTCTTCCTTGCACCCACCTGCCTTTTTTTGTCTTCTTGCAACTGTTTACCTTTTTTCTTTACACCCGCTTGCATTTATTCTCCTGCTTACGATTTCTGGGTCTTCTTCTCTCTTCTTTGCCTCCACCCTTTCCTTTTATTCTCCAACTTACCT